CTCCCTGGCTTTGTGCAGCTGTACAAAAGAGAACCTGTCCGGGCTGCTCCGCATCCCAGGAGCTGGCTGATAATTAAACAAAGGCAAAATAGCCTTGGCATGAAACTTGACCTTTCCAGAGCTTGTGGGGGTGGGGAAATTTGCATAATTTCTGGTGGTGTTTATTTTTATGCATTATGCTTTTTTGCTAGAGATCTCTGTGCTCTGATGATGGGTTGTGATGTAGGAGAGAAGATCCAGGCTGACCTTTCCCGTGGCACATTGGTTCCTCTGCCACAGAGATGTAGGGAAGCACCCTCCAGCCGGGGTCCTCCAGGATAAACAGACCCAGTCCTCTCAGATGGAGGGATCTTGGCACTGGAGGGAGGCCAGGTGTGCTGACCCCATTCCCTTCCCTGCATGGGAGGGAGTCAATGATGCTTCACCCAAGCCAATTGGATCCTAGCCCAGGGACCTGATTCCAAATTTTCAGCACCCTGTGCTTCATAAAGAGTCCTGCAATGCCAAGGTGCCCTAACTGCTCCCAGAAAGGGGCTCTACTTGGCTTCTCCCCTTGATCCCAGCTATGGCATGGTCCTTCCCCTGTGGCCAGCCCATCCCTGTCCCTGTTCCCTGCTGCACCTCCCAACACCCTCCTCTGCCCACACCCCACAAGGCTGGTGGGCAAATTAATCTTCAACTGGGTACCTAGAATTGTTGCCTTGATGGTTATTCTGCCATTTCCTGCCCAGTGCAGCATTAATGATTAACATCCCAGGTTCAATGTCAGGTCCTGCCTGCTACCTTTTGAATATCCTTTCCATCACCTCCTCTGATATCCTGGCAAATAATCTGGGGCGGGTGCTGCTTAGAAAGCACCCTCGGGTTTGGGTTGGCACCCAGGATGGTTCCTCTCTGAGGCAGGAAGGAGGAAGAGGAGAAGCAGCCAGGAAGAAAGCTATGCCAGACAAAGTGTGCATTGCCTCACTTTTACCCCCAGGCCAGCCTGTGCCCTTTGAGGATATCCTCTCCTCTGCAGTCCAGGACATCCTGGCCAGACTTTTGCCAGGCAGGGGAATTTCCCCACAGCAGGCACTCCTTGGGCAGCTGATGTCAGATGAGTTTGCTTTTGCTTCTAATTTACATGCTTTATCAACACAAATCCAAAGTGGGGCAATAACTCCTTCCTCTCACATACCTGTCCCCATCAATGCTAATTCCCAGGAAGAAGGGGGCAGTTCCATTCCTAAATCATTGAGCACTGGGCACTGCCCACTCCCTGCCAGCAAAGACCCCTGTGCCATCCAGGGTTTTGCCCGTTGTGCCCCAGGGCAAGTGATGCCAATAGAGAATGCACCCTACAAATCTGGGATTTTGGCCCATGTGTGGCACCCATCATTGCAGGGCAGTGTGTGCACAGGTACTCTGTGAGGCTGCTGGGGGGTAACAGGCAGCTCTTCTGCCTTCCCCAGATGGCCAGAGGGGAGCAGTGCACAACCCAAGGACTGGGGAGCACCAGAGGGTGCATGGTCAGGAACAGCAGTGACCGGGTTCTGGCAGGCACAGGGACTGCTTGCCCAATGTCCCTGCAGGGAGACCTTACTCTACTGATCTCTCTCACCCTGTGTTGCAAGTGGAAAAGGACCCCCACCCTGGCACACACTCAGACAGGCCAGGTGTTTGGGCACTTCCTGACACCTTCCCAGGGGCAATAAGGAAATTTCTGTTTGCCATCACATACCCCCTGGGACCTTTTAGAAGCATAGAATCATCAAGGTTGGAGGAGACCTCTAAGATCATTGAGTCCAACTATTAACCTGCCCCTCTGCTGTAGCCCCTAAACCCTAAACCGTATCTTCCAGTGCCAGATGCCTCCTAAACACTTCCAGGGATGGTGACTCCACCTCCTTGGGCAATCTGTTCCAGTGCCTCACCACCCTAACAGGGAAAATTTTATTCCTGATATCTAATCTTAGTCTTCCCCGTCTCAGCTTTTGACTGTTCCCTCTAGTCCTCTCACAGCAGACATGGCAGGAGAGTCATCCCCCACTACAACCACCGAAAATTTTATTCCTGATATCTAATCTTAGTCTTCCCCGTCTCAGCTTTTGACTGTTCCCTCTAGTCCTCTCACAGCAGACATGGCAGGAGAGTCATCCCCCACCTCTCTACAACCCCCTTTCAGGTAGTTGTGGAGAGAAAAGAGGTCACCCCTGAGCCTCTTCTCAAGGCTAAACAAACCCAATTCTCAGCCATTCCTCATACAACATGTGTTCTACACCTTTTATGAGCTTCATTGCCTTTTGCTGGACTCACTCCAGTGCCTCAATGGCTTTTTTGCAGTGAGGGGCCCAAAACTGAACACTGAGGTGTGGCCTCACAATGCCGAGTACAGGGGAACGATCACTTATTCAGTCCTGCTGCCACACTATTCTTGATACAGGCCAAGATGCCATTGGCCTTCTTGGTCCCCTGAGCACTTTGTTGGCTCGTATTGAGTCAGCTGTCAAACCATTAGTTTGTGCTCCCATGGCATGACCGTCAGCTTCTGGGGTGCTGCCAGGCACCCCGGGGTGCCAGTCTGGGAGAATTGGGTGAGTCTAAGGGGTACAAGGTGCAGAGGTGCCTGGTGGCACCCACATGGGTTGGTGGGGATGGGTGGTGGGCTGGGATGTATCCCGGGGCTGCGGGGGACCAGCTGGGATGGGGTCTCCTCTGGAGAGGAGTGGAACCTGGGCAGAGAGGCACGGTAGGAGCATAGAAGAGGCTGTGCTAGTCTGGTTTACCCCCTGCTTCCAGGTGCCAGGGGAGCAGAGAGCCTGGAAGAGCAATGAGGAGGAATTGCATCCAGGAGGAGGAACTGGTCCTTCAAGTTTACCCAGCAGGTGGAGAGGAGGAAACAAGCTGGTAGTAGCAAGGGTTATTTGCCACAGAAACAGCCTGTCCTGTCCCTCTGAATCCCCACAGCTGGGAGGTGTGAAGCTGGGAGCCACCAGCCAGCCAGGCATCACCCCCAAGCCTGCTCCATCCCACAGGGGTGATGGCAGGGGTGTGTGTGCCAGGAGATGGCTTTGCCAGGCAGCCCTACTAAGGGAGCAGAGTGCTCTGTGCCAACAGGCTCCTGGGCACCACAACACCTCTGGGAAGGGCTTTGAGCAGTGCCAGGCTCCAGGTGACTCCTGTGTCCATGGACAGGGAAAAGAGGCATAAAAGCCCTGATGTCTTCTATGATATGGCACCAGTTTATGGTAGAACTGGAACCTTCGCCTGTTGAGTGAGGACAAGGCTGTTTTCTGGCAGCTTCTCCCCACCCCTTACCATGGGGCAGGGCCAAAACCCATGTACCCAGGGCTGAGTCACCCAGGGTGGGGATTAGGTGCCCATGCCCACCCCATTGCCACCTGCCTGCTCCCACCAGTGTGCTGGAAAGGTACTGGACCCTAAGGGGCCACAGCAGTGCCTTAGTGCAGCCCTGTACCTGGTGCAGGAGCTGATAAGGAGGTGCCATGGCAGGCATGGAGCAAGGCAGTGCATGGGGAGACTGTTTGCACACTGGCTTCCTACCCTGCTGCTTATCACCACCCTGTCCACCCCATCCTTCACCACCACTGTTCCTCAGTCCTTGCACTCTGTCCCACAACCAGGAAGCCTCACATCAAAAATGGGGTGCAGCAGCCGTTGGAACACTCACTTCCCCAAACCATCCACCCCAGCCTTGCTTTTGAAATGGGGAAACCGAGGCACATCAAACAAATCCTCAAGGGCAGGAAGGGAGCACTGCTGGGGAAAGAGGGTGGCTGGAAACCCCCCCAGCCCACCCATGACCCCCACTATCCCCATACACAGTGTGGGACAGTGCTGGGTGTTGAGATGCTCAGAGATGGGGCTGGCAGGACCCATCCCTCCTCACCTTCCCATTTCAGGTTTCTGGGGCTGACAGGAACACAGGAATCCCCCAGCCAGCCCTGCCTTTCAAGCCAAGCTGTTGCTCAGTTCATGAACAGGTGTTGTGAGCAAGCAGGAGCTGTTATAGAGGGTGTGGGGGGTGTCAGGCTGGTGCTGGCCCCCACCGCTCGCTCTCTGTTGTGCAAACACAGGAGTGCTTGTTTCCAAGCACCTGAGCAGGTGAGGAGCCACATGAGAGGAGGGTCAGGCAGGCTGTGCTGCCTGCAAGGACTCCTGGAAGGGAAGGTGAGGGGGAGGGAAGGTGAGGGGTAGGCATGGCAGCCTCCACCCCTGCACTGCCCCCAGCAGAGAGTATTTATTAAAGGCAGCACCATGATCAACTCCAGAAAATAATTTGTATCCAAGATGAGAAATTTATTTGTATTTCTTTACAGCATGGAAAGGGGTTCGGCCATTAAGTGACAAGGGGCACAGGGCAGCCCCAGCCCCTGCAAAGTCAGATACCATAAGGGCTGTCTTCATGCCAGGGCAAGTGCAGAGACCAGCCAGCACCTTTTTCAGGGGACAACGTGGCAACAGGGTCAGGGTTGGCAGAAAATGGGTGCAGGGGTAGATACACCCCCCTGTGAGGGTGTAATTACCACCTACACCACCTCGGTCTCAGTTCAATGGAGGGATGCAGCAGGGCATGGGACAGCAGCCCCCTGCCCTGCCCTCCCCTCCCCTGCTTAGAGACACAGTGGAGACAGTGTAGGAGAGGTACAGTGCCCGATTGCAAGAGTTTATCAAGGCATCACTGTGCCATTGCCAGACCAGCAGCCCTGAATGGCCCCTGTGCTGCTTTATCTCCTGCTGGCATCAGCTAAACAGATCAAGCAGCTTCTCCCACCCCACCCCCCATCAAAAAAAACCACTCCAAATACCTGTACAGACTCAGTGTGCCATATCAGTACAAAAATATACACAAACTCTACAGATCCCAGCTCAGTAGATCAAAACACAGCTATAAATCACAGTTCACAGGACAGCATCAGGCCCAAGGAGCGATGGGGTCCCCCCACCATGAGCATACTCCAACATGGTGTGGAGGCAGATCATCCTCCAGCCTCATGGGGTCATTTCTCATCCAGCCGACAGTACAGGTACATGGAAACTGCCATGGCTGCAATCTGGGGGTAGGGAGATCCAAGTCAGCCCCACTAATGTGTATTCTCCCCCCCCATCCCAACAGGGTTTTGGGACATAGCCCACCACCCCCAGTGCACCATGGAGGAAGAGCTGGGTGTGCCCAGGGCAGAAGGCTTAGTAGCCTGAAGCAGATGGTGGTCCATGGGGCTGCACCAGGCCCCTGAAGCCCCTTGGCCACCCAGGCTGGTCCCAGCCCCACTACTCACCACCAGGTACAAGGAGGAGGCAAGTACAGCAATACTCAGGCACTCACCTCCAAGGCAGCAATGCCAGCTGCCACACCACCCACCGCTCCTGCATTAGTCCTGATGTTTTCCAAGATCTGTTTGAAACAACCCTGCAGGAGGCAACCACACAGGTGTGGATGAGCAAGAGGTGGCAATCCCCCAACTGCCAGAGCACAGCATCCCCAGAAAGGGGGGTACACTTCTCCAGCTCAGAGTGCACAGCCATGGAGAAAGTCTGGGGGCTTCATGGGGGCCACTCATCTGAGCCACTTCTCAGGCAAAAGCACAATATTGGGTGGGGAAGGAGAGGAGGGGAAGAGGCAGAGAAATCACCCAATAAGGCAGAGTAGTGCCTGGGTTCATGCCCAGCACCAGGCATGCCACCCTGCTCCCTTTAGGATCAGAGCTATGGTAATAGCATTGCTTGTCTCTACCAGGGACAGGCCAAGGTCATCACAGCATCCCCCACCCAGGACTTAAAGCCCATGAGATCACCATGTCCAGAGCTGGAGCTACAGGACAGGTCTACCTCCCCATGCCCAGCACACCCCAAACCAGGCTCTGCCAGAGGACAAGAGCCAGCAGCACATCCGTACCTGGACGTGGCTTTGTGCGGCGAGCGTGTCATTGCAGGGCTGCTGCATATTACAGCAGGACTCAGGGTAGGTGTGCTTTGTCTCATACCAGTAGGAGTTGTTGAAGTCTGTGTAGTTATTCAGGCCACAGCAATGGAACTAGAGGGAGAGAGAAGAAGGGATGGGGAGAGCATCCTTCAGATCTCCCTCCAGGCTTCAACACAATGTGAACCCCACTGCCTCATGGAAGGTGTCACCCAGCTCTGGTGGGGTGCTCAATGGTCATCTCAGGGCACACCATCACATACAGCTCTCACCTCAGCCATGGGACTGCTAGATTCCAGGCAGGTATTTCCCAAACATCTGGGAAGCTGACAAGGTGGTGACAGCTCAACACATCCAGGATTGCAAAAGTATCCCCATTCCCATCCCACTGGCCCACCTGGGTGTGCACCACCAAGTTTGTGTTGGAAGGATCCCAACCCACAGGTGAGGGCCCCAGGTCTCAGCACACCTTTGTCATGGTGACATTCCAGTTTTCTGTGAAAGTCCCATCCACACCATACTTCTCCTTCAGCTTAGGGGTCACCACAGCTGTCAGCAGCACCTCTGCCTGGAATTAGGGGCAAAGAAACACCATCAAAGAGGGTCCTGGGGAGCAGCACAGAGCCAAGAGCCTCCATACTGGTCTCAGCCCATAGGAAGGAGACCAGTGAGACCCAGCATGGCCAACAGCACATCACACCATGTCCCTTTGACTGACAGAGAGCTTGGCCCCTTCCCCACTAACCAGTGCTTTGTGGCACTGAGGTCACTTGTGACCAGTGAGTCATCTGATAAGCAGTATTAAGTGAGGGAGCCAAGAATGATGTTTTCCCTGTGGTTGACTTCTCTGCCTAATGAGGCAGTCACCTTTCTCCCCAGGTGGTTTCTCAGGTGCCTAATAAAGGGTTGAGTTTGCTCAGCATGAGGTATTAGGAACTTCCTCTCCCACATGGCTCCTACCCTGAGATGGGGAGGTGTCAAGCCTAAGCTTGTAATGGACTGAGGGGCTTGAGAGAAAGAAGTGGCTGAAACCTGCCCTAAAGAAATGAGGTTATGGTACAGCCTGCCCTTGTAGGCAGTGCCAGCAGTGACTGTCAAACACCCCCTCTTCCTGCAGCAGCGCCCACCCCTCAGCTTCCCCATCCATGGGCAGCATTGCCAGCCTGTGTCTCCTGTTTTCCCAAAGGGTAGGACAGGTCCCAGATCAGCCCAACCCAAGATTCAGGTGTGCCACTCACAGGTCCTGTGTAGACCAGAGCCACCACAGCAACAGCAACTTCGGCAATGAAGATGATCAGCACCACTGAGAAGAACTAGGATACACCAAGGGGAAAGAGGTCAAACTGACAGTCAGAGTCCTCAGGGACTGCAGGAAACCATCTTTTTCCCCAGGGCCACAGGACCTCAGGGTTCAAGCCCTGCCTCATTGTCTTCAGCTCTGGTCCAAGGCAGAAGCAGCACAGCCTTGGGGTTCTCCAGCCTTCCATGTGGCACAGAGCTGAGCTCTCTGGATGCACTCCAAGAGAGACCTC